TAATGCTTCATAAGTCCTAATTTTTAAATGCAGTGTTCCTCTGATAAAACACTACTCTTCTTGCAGATCTGAAATTATGCCATATACTTAATTGGTTGTGAAAGTATTATCACAGTCTTCCTCCACATGATACCCTCCTGATATAAACTACAACTGGGTTCTGTATTCTTGGAGTAGCAGTCCACACTGGAAAGCACCAAGTTGAAAAAGGGGGTATTATGATGGCCACTCTTCAATAGATGCTTCCTGAACTTTGCATGGCAGAGACAAACTCTTAGAAATGCAAATTTATACATGTCTCTTCAAAAGTATGTTCTTTCGATTTCAGCAGGGCTTACTATCATATAGGTACAGAATTATATTTGATGGCTGGGTTTGCATTTCATGTGAAACCAGAGTAGTGCATTTTTCAGGGTTATGGGCCATATTTTGTCTTTGGATGGCCTGCTTTATACCTCCTAATTTAGACTGCTACTTTTGGATGAAACAGAGGACATTCCTATAACCAATTCTGAAGAAGATTCAACTCTCAGTCTGATCAGCTTCTGAAATTGGGGGATAGTTCTATAGCTCTTTATCTTTTGCTGCGGACATCAAAACAGCTTCACCTGGCCCTGGTTTTCCCTCTGCCTTATATAATATCACCTGTAGATCCTGATTATCAAGTGGTAAAATGATAAAGCTTGGGTGGAGGACTTTGCTCCAGATCTTTCTTTCACAAGGACTTGCCACTGGTACAATGTAGTGAGCTGCTGAGGAACAATGAAAATCCTAACTGGGTCCAGAATAATCTACTGAGTATGAGTATTTCCACACTGGAGAGATTATGCCCTAGAACAAAAAGAGCTGGGGCAACCTTCACAGCATTTCTGCTGAGCCTTTTTTCATTCACTACAGAAATACTGAGTCAATTAAAAAAGTGTAGTGTTTTTGTTTTAAATAAAGATCCCTGAGCAGTCTCCATTCCTGAACACTTTTACTCTAAAATCTTTCTGCAAACAACTTCTTTCATGGGTTTACCTAGTTTGAAGAACTCTTTTCTTCCCAAAATTCAAGCAAAATCCATTGACATCACATTTAATTTGTATTTCCCATTTCTGCTAACTTAGGTTTGGCTGGATGGAGCACTGATTTTTGTCAAAACTGCAATTTCTATGTAAGGCAGACAGGCAACTATGGTTTTACAAGGACTCCATAAATACCTTCAGTGTAGAACATGCAAAGTTCTAGCATAGCTTTATATTCCCTATGCAGGGAAGAATGAGAGCTATATTTGCTATAATGGACTAAAAGGTTTAAGGCACTTCAGCAGTAAACTACAAACAAATATAGGCCTGAATCCCCCCCCCCCCCCAAAAGTTAGTTGTGATTAAGTCTCAGGGAAATAAATAGGACTTTGGGGAAAGCTTGGCTACATCTTAAACTCTATTGTCTTCAATGAGCCTTAAATACTAATTCATTTGTTTAGATGAGGGCAATGGGCATGAGGAGGAATATAGTAGAAATTGTTTTAATTTCTAAGAGTGGAATTTAATGCCATGTAAGTACATTTCCACTTGCACAGCAGGGCTTTTTTCTTCTCCTCTCCCCCCACCCCCAGCCTCACTCCTTCCAAGAATCTGCTCTGGAGAGTTGCCCTATAACCCCATTCTTCAGTGAAACCAGTTTCATTCTAAGAGCGATCCCTGTCTTTTAGAAATTTCAAGTGCTGCTAATTTGCACCAGATAATCATCTACGCAAGTGAGATTTTAGCGTCGTGTAGCATTATCAGAATTCCTGATCCTCTGACTCTGACTTGGGCTTCTAAAGCTCATTCTAAAATTCAAAGGCAAGGGTGTGCAATTGCTTCTGCACCAAGCATCACACTTAGCCTTGGGCAAGTTGGTGGCTGTTCTCCAATATGATGTCATTTTATTTACATTTAAACTGATTTCAGATTAAAATAATAAATATGGCCCCTATTTGTGCATTTAATAACTTTGCCCTTCTGTCTTATTAAATATTACAGTTTGGTAACAACATTTGGAGGTTTCTGAGGGCTACATCCAAAGCTTTTGGGGGCCACAAGGCCTTAGGGCCTCAGGTCGTGCACATCTGCTCTATAGTTTTAATAAATACCTTTAAATCTGCACCCCACAGTTCCTTGAGCTTATATTATTGCTGAATTGAATATACAGCTATTCCTGTTTGCCCAGCAAAGGCAAACAGGACTACATGGAATGAAATGGACTCCTTCTATTTAAATAAATTCCTGAGCACCAACATTTTTTCTTATAGTGTTTCTGAAAGTTCAGAATGGTCTTTTGAAAACCTACTAAACGATTATTTGCACAGAAAGGCTATCAACAATTAAGGTACACTAAAAAAAAAGTGACAAAAACCTCACTTAACCACACCAGAGTCTATAACACTTTCTACAGCATAGTAACTAGGCAAGCAAATGTATTTATTTCTCACCATAAATCAGTAGTGTGGAGGACACAGCTAGCTGAGAGGGAAAAACCAAAACACCAACATTGAATTTAACTGGCAATTAGCAGTGTTAATAATAGCCTTTAGACAGTTCCTGTCATGATATAACAAAAAGATGGGATTGAAGAAAAGGGTTTCAAAGAAGCATTCATAATTCTGCATCTATCTTAAAAGATAATACAAAGTACCAGCACATGATAAATATTTAACTCAGACAAAAGTATCAAATCAGTTATGGTGGTTGGGTGAAAATATTAGAGAATTAAAACATATAAATTTCGTCTAAGTGATCAGCAGTTTTAAGGTTATGTCCAACTCTGATTTAAATTCCTGACTTATGTAGACAGATTCTGCGGAGTTAATTCTGATCTAAATGAGATAAAATGCAACAGTTCCATTGTTTTGGATACTTTCCCAAAAACATGCTTAAAACCTAAAAGTCAGCAACTATTTTAATTTAGGAGAACATTGAATCGTAGGAGTTCTCTTAAGAGCAAGTGAGGGAAGCACTTTCATATTGCTTAAATCCATGACAGGGACTTGCCAGACAGCTCTGGCTCTTCCATATGCAAACATGAAAAAGCTTCCATCTTTAAAGCTGAGCCAGGATAAGATATGAAGCCAAGCAGCTATACTGCATGATCTGAGAGTTCACTCTAAGATAATTTGCAACATTACAGAGGAAGCTGGAGCCAAATGATCCATTCTCACATTTGCTTCATTTTCTGTTCTTGCTACGCAGAGCCATGGCATACCATTACAAATTATTGCTTGCATTACTAATTCAGTCTTAAATGAAGACACCAACCCAAACGCTACGATCTGTTATTTTCACAGGGATTAGCCAACACAGCAGTCAACTCTTAGAACTAATGAAGATTTACCTCTTATTTTTGGATTTGTAAAGAGATCGAAGCTTGCACTCTTCTGCACACTGGGAAATGTAAGTAACACCTTGGGAATGACCATAATGGGTACTCTGTTTGAATAAGGCAGTGCTGACTACAGTCAGAAAAAGATTTATTTCACTTAATCTTTGGCAAAAAATGACACTGTTGTAATAAATTGAGCCAAAGTATTACATACAGGCATTAGCACACCCAAAGCCTTTTTTGTTTGTTTGTTTTAATTAGCATGAATATTGAGGAAATTTCAGAACATATAAATTACACACAGTAAAGGGGAATAATATAATATAAATTTTCTAAGGAACACTTTATCAGGATAGAAGGAAAAAATACAGTAGATGCATACTTCTTTTAAAGCAAATAAGAAAGTGAGTAACTTTGCAGAAAGGCCACTATTTGGTAAAGTGGACAAGTTCAACATGTAAGTAAAATCTTGTAAAAATGTAAATTGGTATTAGAAATTGTCTACTTGCAAAAATATATTTTAAAACTGCAGCTGCTTGGAACAGTATCAGCCAGGGCATATTGCAGATTTGCTCAAGTGGCTTGGTCAAGAGCTCGAAGCAAGTCACCTCCCTGCAGAAGAGTCGAACTGCCCAGCACCGGGACGTTAACCTCACAGTCATATCGGGTCAGTTCTGGCAACAAATAAGGTTCCAAAGAAGACCCAAGCAGACGACTTGCAACTCCTGGGGGACAAAAATATTCAGAAGCTGAGCAATACACTTCATTCCCAAAGGGCCTTAGAAGCAGTGCTGAATTTTAAAAAATGACATATCAATACAATAAAAGAAAAAAATGCAGCCTTTCAACGATAACTAAATGAAAACTCAAGCAAGACAAAACAAAGAAACAAACACATTTCCACCTCCAGATGTGAAGCAACATCCTTATAGTTAATTAAGTAGGGATAAGAGACATAATAAATAAACAAAGAAAGTGGCAACGAGCTTAAAACCAGTTTAGAAGTTGCAACTATTTACTGGTCTGGAAACTGCTTGTAGACTCAAGTGCTAGTTGAATGATGAGTACAGAGAGTACTCATGAATGATGAGTACAATATCCTAATCAGTGCAATGCAGTCATTCTCCATAAAGTTTTGGGTTGAGTCCTCAGACGTGAAGCCACTTGATCAACATACCCCAATGGTAGTGAAATGGGTGGCTACATTTGAAGGGCAGGAACACTATGTGTCTGTGTATATGTGTGTGAATGGGAAGATACATGACTGTACAGAAGTGTGCAAATGGCAAAATATAGGAGTTGATGATATACATTTATACAATTTGCTAAAGCACAATATAATTTTGTTGGTTTTTGGCTTGTCATGATGTATGAACTCATCCACTATAGTTTGTAAACTATGATTTACGAATTAGTACAGAGTGTAACTCCAAGCAGTTATGGTTTATTCAACAAAGCATAATTAAACCAGCCACTGTGTGTATGTATGAGTGGAATGGGTTTGTGTGAGCAGATTGAGAATATGTGGATGGATAAGAGGTCCTGATAAATGATTTTGTAATTAGTTCTGCATATGACTTTATACAACACATTTTTAGCTCTGGCTCCATTCACTGCATTGATGCAGACTTTTTAAAATTCATAGAATTGTGGAGTTAGAAGGAATCTTCTTCCTGTTGAAGGACATCTTGTTCCTTTCAGCCCAGTCTTCCAGATTAGATTGCAATCTCATTCTGTCAGCCTAGGTGTTGGCCAAACCTCCCAATTTTATGTCTGCAAATTTGACAAGCAGTCCATCAACCCTCATTACCCAAGTTATTAAGAAAAAATGTTGTATAACATTGGCCACAGGGCAGACTCCTCTGGATACTGTTCTCCAACTCAATGTAGAAACATTAATGACAACCATTTGAGTGTAGTTAGTCAATCCCCCTTACTGTAGTGCTGTCCAAACCATACAGTAACAAGTTATCAATGAGAATATAATTGACAATATCAAAAACTTTACTGAGACTGAGGTAGATTATAGCCACAGCTTTCCTTTTCTTTGCTAAAGTAGTTTCATTTTAAAGGAGCTGCAATTTGTCTTATATGAGCTGTTTTCGATAAATCCATGCTGACTCTTAGCAATCAGGCACTTAGATGCTTACCATGGCCTGGTTTATTGCCTGTTCCAACAATTTTCTAGTTAATGTTAGGTTCACTGGTCAGTAATTACCCTCCCCCTCATTTCTTAAAGAGGGGGACCACACTTATTCTTCTCCAGTTCTCCAGCACCTCTGGTTACTCACAAAGCAATGCTGCTTTTGAGCTACCTCAACCTTCATGTAGACTTTCTTACAGCCAGTTTACGTGATTACCTCAATTTATGGGAACTGGGGGAAAAAAAAAAAACCTAGAAGGTGATAAATGGCAAATCACTTCTGTTTTCTGCCAAGAAAAGTAGAAGGTCATATCCACGAGGCCACCAGCAACTGAGGTTTACTTGTAAGAGACTTTATGGAGATAACTTCAACTCATTTGGTGAGCAAACTGACCACAGCACCTCCTCACTTTGGAGGTCAGATCACTTTCAGCATCTCACAGTAAGAGCCTACCCCATCTACTAAAGGGACTGATTTAAAGCACTCTTATCTTTATTAGAAGTAAATCTTCCATTACTGAAAGTAATCTTTCCAAATTTGAGATAACACTTACCCGACATCCTATGAGCTTGTGATACATTGAAGTCCTGATAAGGGGTTTTGTAAAAAGGGGGAGAGTATACAACTTTTGGATTATTTGCAGAGTTGCCAGAGGACAGTGGTAGATCCTGCTGTTGTTGCTGCATCATACGCACTGGCTGGCCTGAGCATCTTTGTAGGTTACAAAGAAACTTATCTACAATTAAAAAGAAAAAACTGGCTTTAAAAAAAAAAGAGGGGCATACCATTAGAAACAAAATGCTTTACATAGCCCTAATTTATATTTTGCCTGGAAAAGTATTTGTGTGTAGTGGTGGTGGTGGTGTAGATAGAGGTCCCATGTTTTTGTAAGGCAACTTTAAAAATGATGAATTATTCTCAGTGGATACTTTCCAGACTGCAAACATCTGCAAAAGAAAATTACTTTAAGCAGCCACTAGAATCAGTTTAATGGTGAGCATCAGTTCATAATAAGATGTTAAGATACAAAGATTTCTCAAGGTTAGAACTAGTTCATGCATGCATGGTTTATTATCCATGTAATGGGCAATTATGGAGGATGGAGCTATGTGTATGCATGAATAGATTAGATATTAACAGTGTATTCATGCACGCAATTTTCATTCATATATAATATAGAGATATTCTTACTCTTGGCCAAAAGTCATTGAAGGGTAGCTGCAAAACTTATTTGTATTTTGACAGCTGGGCACTGACCTTGTGAACATATGATACTGAAAAGTATTGTGAGACAAATGATAAGGCAGGATCTGCAATGATGGCTTGTTCATACAGGCAACTCAAATTATCTGGTAATTACAAAGCAAGAGCTTGTTGAATCAGACTGAAGACCTAACCTAGTCCAGCATTTTGTTTTCACAATGATTATTTAGATATCTCTGGAAAGCCCACAGGTAGGACATAAGGGTTTCTCCTGATTTTGTTACAGTATTATGACTGACATTGAAAGACATGTTGCTTCTGATCCTAGAGGAGGTATGTAGCCAACAAGTATGGGTAATGGCCATAATGCATTTGTTTAAGTTTTTTTAAAGACATTTAAATTAGGAATTCACATCATATCCCATGATATCCAACAACATATTTTAACCACGAGTTGTGTGAATAAGTTTTTTTTTAATGTCCATCCAGAATTTCATACCATTCAGCTTCGCTGGATGACTCCTGGTTCTGAATAACAAGAACCACTGTGGGATATTGTCATTTGGCCTGCCTGCAGAATTCTTAAAAGTTCTGCTGGATAAGTCCAATGGACAGTCTTATTTAGTGTCATTTCGCACAGTGGCCAGATAGAAGTATCTATCTGGCCACTGTGCGAAATGACACTAAATAAGATTGTCCATTGGTCTTATCCAGCAGAACTTTTAAGAATGATGAAGCAGAGCATGGACAAGGGAGCACAGAATTGGTAAATATAAAAGGCAAATGCAGGGCATTTACCTAACTCTTTTATACAGTTTTTGCAATTCTGCCCAAAGCCACCAAAAGGTGACATATCACATCAGTTGATGTGTTCCCATTTGGCCATATACACTACCAAGTTTTGAAAATTCTTACCATTAAGGACACTTGTGCTGAGTGACTTCTTTTCTGAAAGCAATGCACAGTTTTCACTTCTGAGAAGCTTCATTCTTTTCAACATTAAGTGAGTTGGATTAAGGCCAGACATGTCATCTTGTGTCTACAGGTAAGGTAAAACATGAAGATGTAAACTACTCAAGGAATGAACCTTGTACAGTCTTCTATTTAAAAACCATGAAAGGCAAAATATAGTAATCAGTCACAATAGATTTACCCCATTCAGGTGTTGAAATGTTTGGTCTTCATAATCTAACTGCCGTTTCAACTTGAAACTGTTGGCGAGAGCTATCCGGGCTGGGTTTATATCTATGCCTCGCTGTCCAAAACTCTCCAGTGATCTATCAAAACAAACCATTGTTTTTTATTAAGTTGAAACAAGGTTTATTTTAACCCAGAGAAACATGACATGTTGGTCTGCAGAAATCTGTTCTTTTTCAGATCTGCTGTTGCTGTATCAATGGCTAAAACAGAGGCTTGCAAGAATATTTTTACTGAGAGAAAAGTGACTGGTAGTTGAGAATAGCTGTGAGACTCACAATTGGTACAATAATAAGCATTAATAAGGCACTGTGTTAATAAAAATTGAAACACTATTTCTGTTTCTGTAAAATCCCCTATCAGAAAGCTGAAATGGAAAGAACAGAATGAACTGTGCAAATTGATAGTAACAATTTATTTAACCATTGCTCAACATCTGTTTTCTGCAGTTAGTTTCTATTGCCTAAGCACTGTTGACTCTATGGTGTTGGCAAATCACTGACTTACACCACAGGCATTCACTCATTGATATCTGAAGTCAACAATAGCAGTTTGTTTTTCCCTAAAGTTAATAGGTTGTGCAAAGATAAATGGTTGCTTGAGAGTTGCTTTTTCATCTCACATCCTTCATGGATAAAGCCAGTCATATGGATCCCTTCCCTATTGGCTGGACCAGCCATTTATTATTTTAATTGTGACTGTCAGATTTATATATCATCTTTGGTCAAGGCAGCATACTCAAAATTCTTTCTCCCGTTTTTTTCTACAATAACAATATTGTGGAAGCAGGTTAATTTAAGAAAAGGTGTTTAGCTCAAAGTAACCCAGTACTACTAGTAACCTACGTCTCTTCAGTCCTACTCCAACTCCTTAACCACTGCACCACCCTGGCTCTGTCCTATCCAATGTTACAGTAGAGTATAGGAAGAAGCCTGGGAAAGTAGCCCCCCCAAACCAAGGATACTCAGTTTCCTTCGCGTCTTGAGGGCCTCACTCCAAAAGATGACAAGAGACAGGTGGATTTGGAATTCTTCTCAGGCACACAAACTGGGTGAGATTCCCTTCATATAGTCTGCAAGGCTCCTGGGAGGCACAGAAAGGAGGCTGGGGGTTGTGTGGCAACAGGGATTGCATTTTTTGTACTCCTGCCCTACTCTGCTGCACTGAGGGGAAGGACTTCATATTTCAGATGGTTTGAAGATAGGAATGTGTGATAAGCTGCTCCCAAACCAAGAGAGGACTTCAGGTGGATTGGTGGATAAATACTTTGGGGTACAGCCTCATTTTTCCCTTCCCCACAATGCCCTTGATATCCACACTAGATTATCATCTATCATTATTTCCAGGGAACTAGCAGTCCTCTTCCCCCTTTGAAAGTATGTGGGTTTGTTAAAAGATAGCTAGACTTCTTAAATGCCTGGTGCAGCTCTTGACCTTTAAAGAAATTTCAAAATAGTAGTAAAATTCATTAAAAGCTGTAAATCTCTCAGATCTCCACCCACCTGCCTAACAGTCAAACAACATTCATCATTTCTCCAGTTTTCCCCTTTTCCATTTTGGTTGAAAGGATGGCCCTGATGAAGGAGGTGGAATAATTGTTCAGCTGTAGTGATTAGAAAATGCATTGCATGCATTTTTTTTTGTCTTTTTTTTAAAATGAAGAGATATGATGATTAGGTGCCATCAAGTCATTTTCAACTCCTAGCACATAATCTCTTCAATTCTAATTCTGATAACTTCTTTAAAAATAGGCATACAAAACCATGACCTTTCTCTGACTTTCTGACAAATGGTTTTGCTGGCAATTTTCTATTTTTATGTGAGAACAAACTTTGCTCTAAGGTTTCTGTTTTGCAGTTAATGCATATTGTTTTCTGTTTCTTCTTTTTGATTCAACCACTTGCCTCCACAAGCATGTGGAGAAGGAAAGACCTAGCCATTATGATGCTGCATTTAAACTGCTTTCATTTATCATCTTCAACATCCTTTTCTGTGTTGAGTTACCTTTTCTTATCTGTGTTCCTGCTGGGCAAATGCAGTGATGGGGGGTCTGATGCAGAGCTTATTAAAGACTTATTGCCCATTCCTCTCCATTTGGTTGGCACATACTCTAATGGTGGGTCAGGAGGCCACTGTGTATTTGGTCTCCCACCCATTGAAGACAGTGGAGTATTGGCTTGTGCATAGTAGGGCAGCAAGAATGATGATGACTGACTCCCATGGTTGAAGAATGCCAGTGGCAGAGTCCCTTGGCCTGCTTGCATGTTTTTGTCAGATCCTGGCTGGCAATATTTCTCTAGGAGGAACTGGCTCTGGGAAGAAGGAGCAAGAGGTTGGAAGAGGCTGCTCATGTTGCTTAAGCTCTGCTGGGTAAGCTGGATACTTTCACAGAGAGGACGCTCCTCTTGACAGATAGGGCTCAGCTGGAAATCTTCCCCATCCATGGGAATATAAGGAGCCAAAGTTTCAAGATCCAGTTCATTGAAGTCACTCTGTTCAATGGAAATTAAAAGGGGTGGGGTAGTGAAGAAAAACAATTTCTACTTTAAAACTAGAAAACCAGAGGCCCTCTCTTCCCTCATATCCCAGTACAATGTCTCAGACCCAATATGGCTTACTCCACATGAGGATATGGGTTTGCAATCTCTTTTTTAAACTAAAAATTCCCCAGTCTAGCACATCTTAAGCAACCATTGCTTACTTAGCACCTGGCAGATGTGTTAGATAAGGAGCCCCCTAGCCTGCTGAAGATGCTGGATTGAAAAGCCCAGTCTAGGGAATTAAAATTAACCCCTACACTGCATCTGCTTTCCACCCTGCAGTACACTCAGTCTTAAGTCTGCATAGGAGGAGCTGAAAGAATGTGCTCTTCTGAGTTCTGGCTTGATGCTAATTTACCCATGGCTCCTCTTACCTGTGAACTACATTGATTCTTGGCATCTGTGTCCATGGCAAAAAGCTTCTCAATCATCTCGATCTTCAGGTCTTCATCTAAAGAAGTGTAATAATCTCCTGGGCTACTTGGCTTTAGGATGAAATGAGAAAACAGATTATCAACACATATACCAATAGTCATAATGCAGTTAGCTGTATAGAATTAAACATGAGACAGGGAAGTCTTGGCCAAAATGGATTCTTCCTTGAAACTGATTCCTTTTCTTGGCAGTGCTGAGTGTCACCTCTAAAAATGTTTCAGGTGGTCTCCCAATACTCAGGGGCATATTCAGGAGACACAGGGGCTACAGGATAAGAAAAAATTCCCCCTTGCAGTGCTAGTAGCCTATTGCTGGAAAAAGAATGATCACCAGGTTACAATCCAAGAAGCCTGGGCTTTGTTAAAGAAGAGCATACAATTGAAAAAAAAATCAGGAAATGATGGATATATTTGTCTTCCTGCTGGCTGACGTTTGTGAAATACAGTGCAGTTATAGACATACTTCGATGTCATAAACTTAGCAAAAGTATTAAATTACAGTATCTTTTTAGGCAACAGAGTAGGTCCAGTCTTTTCCTTGCTTCAAAGGAACTTATTGCTAGGTAAGTGTACTTAGAACTGCAGTCTTTACATACAGACCAATGATTAAAACAAAACATTAAAACATTGTTACTCAAATGGACCTAGCAGTGATCGAAACAATGGAAACTTTTCTGGAAGGAGAGAAGAACAAATGTGGTTATGACTCCTGAAAAGAGACAGAACACACACAGCCTGAACAGCCAGAACTGATTCTTGTAGGGTGCATGGATCTAATTCTATAAAGTAGATTTGTTCCCCCATAGTTCTGACAATGGGTTCATCGTTCTTCTACCACTGGATTCAGTATTAGCAAATAGGGCTGTAGTCAAAATGAGACCACTGCAATAAAGGGATGGTATCAGGGAAACCTCCAGGTCTACTGAGTCATAAATAAACTTTAGGAATAAATTCCTAGGGTGCAATCCCCTTCAAACAACCCATTTAAGTTTTAAGTGTGCTGAATGGCCAGGAAAAAAAAATCGGAGTGTTTATTTGGTAGGTTAGGAGTAGAGATAAGGAGCAGGGAAAACAGTATCCTAGAAGAACTAGCTTGTTGCTGAAATCTTAAGCAGGAGCACCTCACAGTGCAATGTTTGGTTGCACACTCTACTTATGCATATATAAACTCAACATCAAGGATAGCCAATTGGAACCACATGAAGAGCATCCAGGTCCCTGCACATGTTCCTGGTTTACCACAATTTAACATATGGAGCAAAAGAAGAATCACTGTCTTGATACTCCTATTTTTGAGGACTTGTGGCTGCAAAGCTGTGCTTTGCTTCTCACTCAAAATATAGTGCAAGAATGATGGCAGAAACAGGACACTGAATTGTGCTTCTTATTCGCCCTCCGCTGATTCAGGGATCAGGGCTGATTTAGCTAAAACTCCAGTGGGTGGGAGAACTGTAAACTGGGTTCTACCCCAGTAGATCCCCACTGCTTTCTGACCTTAAAGATTGATATGTAATCACATGAGTTAACTGGAAGTCATTGCATTTCTGTATGGAGCAATTCTTTCCTGATCTTGCTTTTGTATTTACTGGTGACTTTCCATGTTAATCTCTTAAGGTCTGGGAATGGCTGCTCCCCTTCCAAGTTGCAAGAGGGGGGTGACTGATGCATCCTCTAAGCATGCCAGTCCCTTCCCCTCCTTTTCATGTTCTGAGTGAAGTAAGATTCTGCCAAACTAATCTCAGCCACCATCAGCCTTTGGCTTCAGTAGATAAAGGCAGCTAGAAGTAATTCCTTTTTTAACTTCTTGTACTGTAACTGCAGTTGGTGCTGGTGAAAAAAAAACCCATACTTCAAAGCTGGCAATGCTGCCAGTCTTCAGTGCAAAGGCCTTTCTTACGGTGGAACAGCTGCTGTTGCTGCTTGCGCTGGGGGTACTGCTGCCAGGTGCAACTTGAGGCAAGGTAAATGATGGCACACTCAGCTTTTCAGTCTGGGATGCCTGGTTCTGCCCTTCTGGAGGCCACCGAGTGTTTGGAGTCATCACAGCTTTGTTGTAGGTAGAGATTTCCTCAAACTTTTGTGTTCCTGAAATTGAGGCAAGCAAGGTCAGTTCACATGCCGGTCACAGATGCTGGCGAAACGTTAGGAACCAAAACTTCCAGAACACGGCCACACAGCCCGGAAGACCCACATCAGCCAAGGTCAGTTCATCCTTGGAACTTACAATCCTAGGACTTTTTTAAGAAAAAGAAAACAAACAAACAAATAGGGAAGGTTGTCTTCATTCCAAGAAAGTAGGTGAAGGAAGAGCTCCAAAAGGCACTTGCAAAACTGGAACTAGCAGGTACACAACAATACATTCACATGCATAACGTAGACAAACAAATATCTTCCCATTCCCAATACACGTAGACAAACAAATATCTTCCCATTCTTAGAGAGGCAGACAGCCTGATTCAGGATTCCAACCTTGGAGTGTGAAGTTAAAGCATTTCTCTATGGTACTCTAACCTCCAACCATTTCAAACCTCCATGCTGAACTCCAACATGTTCTAACTTATGCAGCTGCATATTAAGCTGGTGTTTTTTGGCCCTACAGCATGTGGGGGAAGAGACTGGGGAAGACTTAAAGACAGAAGCTGCTGAGATACTCTCACCTTTCCCACCCTAGAACAGCTCTATCTCATCAGATCACTGTGAGACAATTAGAAAGATCATGGCCAAGTAAAAGGGAAGAAAGTTTGGGGAAAATACCTAGGGAGAGGGAGGGAGGGAGATTAATATCAGGGACTCTTATCTGAACTGAACTACAATGGCTCCCATCTCTGATTTAGATTATTGACCATACTTTTATGGTCAATAAAAGTAGAGAACCAAACAGACCTCTCTGTATTTGTTAAAACAAGGAGTACCTTGTATTTATTTTTATTCTTAGAGATGGCTTGAATGTCATTGTGTTTATCTAATACTTTGTGGGAGATGCTACAATCTACCAGCTCTCTGGTGGTTAACTACTGAACAAATGCAAAATGATGTTCACCACCTATTCTTCCCAAAATATTACTAACCAAAGTCAAGAGAAATAATTGCATCGCCTGGTGTTGGTGCCAGCTGGGCAAGTTCTTCTGGTTCTTCCTTTAGCTTGGTGAATAAGAAGTCACTCTTATCAGTCACTGGGACTCCATGGTCAAACATGGAGTTCATGGCCATCATATGAGGCTTAAAAAGCGATTCTGTCTGATCCATGGAGAATACAATGTTGTTGTTCTCTATTTCACTAACAAGATAAATTAAAATGTTAGATATTTTGTATTATGCAAGACAGTATTCATGTAAATATAAAAGATAGCAATAAGAGATTTAATTTTAACCAACTCTGGCTTCTAATTTGGAGTGCATAGAAATTTTCTGTGGAATAAATGCACTGTATCTAATTCTATCCTGGTTGCTTTCTTCACCAATTTATTACATTAAAACTATAAAACTTTAATATAAAATTTCACAATGGGCTCAACGAGGACTGTGGTCATATCTCCACTTGCACCTGACCATGGCACAAAGATGCCCTAGCAACATCTTTTTTCTGTCATGCCCTAATAATGTTGCTTTCCTCCCATCCTTAGCTGTTTAGTTGTTCAAATAGCCTTTATCCTCCTTATTCCAATGCTTACAAGGACAGCCTCAAGGTGTGTAAAATCCGTTAGGCTTTGTTGCTCATGACCCTGAAGGGAAGTCAGGTGACTGGCTATAACTGGGAACAGAGGCAGAATTGGGACTGGCAAAGGGGACAGCCAATTTCATCCCGATATAGTTTTCGGTTGACTCAAGAATGGGTGGATTGTGCAGTGTAACTTGGAAGTAGGAAAATTCAGAAACAGGAAATAGAGATCCAGATTTCTTTATTTCCCACTTTAATATCAAGCAACAGCATGGACATAAAAATGGGGATTTGTGCCTCCTGGCAGGAATGGTAAGTGATAGGTAAAGCTACAATGGAAGATCTGGGGACGACGACAGTAGATATTGTTTGCCTACAATTATCTTTAGTGCTGATTGGAACTAATGGGAATTAAAGCTCCAGAAGAATCTATAGGGCTTCAGTTTCCCCATTCCACACTTGCCCTGTATTTGAGGAATTTGCATTCCACGGCTCCATAAACAGGGAATGCCTCCCACAGAAACATGTGAGACTGCTCAGGCTGTATTGCTTCTCCAACAATCTTCAGGATTTCAGCTGTCTTACCTTAGAACATAGTTAACACAAATTATGCACTGAGGCTGCAAATTCCGAGTATTGTAGATGACTGTTCCCTGGGTCTCAAGCCACACGTATCCACCGTGCTTGGCAAGCATGCGGTACTGCCCTGTAACCACTTGACCTTTTGCACATACTGGAGTTAGAGACGGAAAGGGAAACATGCAAAGAGGAGAAATTGCATATCAATATCATGTTAGACACAGAATGCACTAAGCCTAACTGCTATAAATACTGTTTTTCAGTGGCAAGTATTACAGCATCTTGCTAAAAGCATCTGAAACTTGTGGCACAATAGATCTGTTAGTCTAAAGCAGTGTTTCTCAACCTTGGCAACTTTAAGATGTGTGGACTTCAATTCCCAGAATTCCCCAGCCATTCTGGGAATTGAAGTCCACACATCTTAAAGTCTTAATTCACTTAGAAGATGTGTGGACTTCAACTTCCAGAATTCCCCAGCCCATGTATGGGTCCACTTTAGCTCTTAACCCTTCCAAGCTTCTAATTGGCCTTCTTTTTCCATTGGTGTATCTTCTAAGGGAGGAGAAAACTCTGAGGAGGGAAATTAGCCATCTCCATTACTCCCATTGCCATTTCTATTCCTATCTGGCAGAAGTCAGATCTTTGATGCATGTCTGTTGTGTACTTCAGTATGATCTCTGTGGCAGTATCCCAGGGATCACAGAATTAATCTGATTTCCTCCTTGAGGTTGGAGGCCATTTCCAGCATTGGTTTCCCTGGGTTGTCACTCTCCCCATCCTTTGAAGCTGGCTTAACTGATACAGAGCAGAATTTAGGCCACACATTGGGCTGGTTTAAGTATACGCCCCATAGTTGCAATCAATGGTAGGCTACGCTGACTTTAAAGAACAACTACAAAAGCAAGAAAATCAGTGATTGTTGCTTCTTTGACACTTGCATTCCTGCCAGACGATCACTGGCACACTACTGGATTCCTTCGGGAAAAAAAACAAAAGGATGGGTCTGTAAGTATATATTACTAAAATTGACTTGATTTATTATTTTTGTTATTTTAATTGTGAATTGTTTTAATTTGTGTTCATTCTAAACCACACTGGGAACTATTTTAACAGAAAACTGATGTATAAAACAACCAAGCAAATGAACTTTTTGATGCTTTGAAGAAGGAACAAAGTCCTCAGTGATCAGAAATATCCCCCTCCAATCCTGACATTATAAAGATTGCAAAATACTTGCTTGATTTAAATCCCAGCTTCCAAACTCCTTTGCACAACTTTGCAAATGAAAAGTCTGAGAGGCAGTAATTCTGGGACTTGCTTCTGAGTAGATATCCATCAAATTTTATTATTATAATTCATGCCAAGGTAGTGTTGTGATGGAGATGCTGGGGCTAGAGTTAGGAAGAACCAGTTCAGGCCTGCCCTCAGCTACAGAAACTGACTAGATGTTTATGGGCCAGTCTCTCTCCCAGCCCAACCTACTTACACTGTGGTTTTGGTGGGGAAAAACACAAGAATAGAGTGCTATGTATCCCATCCTGAGTTCCCATTTAGTGTAAATAGATATTACTAAGGAACTACTTAATAAATAAGACTATTATAGAAACAATAGCCTGGGACTTTTCTGAGACAGACACAGAACCAAGCAGCCTTTTTAAGATGAATAAATAACCATACTAAATCCTTTGTTTATGTATAATCTACAAAGAGCTTCTCTAATGTTTTTATTGTACCCCTTTATTGGTGAAGCTCTGCGTTCAGAATAAGCTTGCTGCTAAGGAGATTATATTTTGATTATTAGATTATGGAGGTGCATGAACCAAAAAAAAAAAACCAACAAAGATTCTGTCTGAAAACCATTTAAGCAAATGGCTTCTGCACGTCTGTGAAACATTATTACACTGGATCCTTAATAGAGAACTTGTCATTAAGGAATCATCATGTGACGTGCCTGTTACATTACTCAAATGAGGTTTAGTTCTTTCATCTTTAAAAGGAAACAAGTCACACCATGTTCTGATACAAGTTGCTGTTACAGATGTGTTAGTGGAGAATGATATTTAATGGTGGATAAATAATTCTCTCATTTTGGGCCAACTGAAGGATGACCACTAGCTGATCACTGCAAAAGAGAAAACAGATAACTAAACAGATTTCCATACAATCTGCACATGCTATTATATACCTTTTAAAAAAAATCCATTCAATTGTGCCTGATTCTCGGAGACTGTTTGGACAAGTCCCTGCAGTTTTCTTGGCAAGGTTTTTCAGAAGTGGTTTGCCATTGCCTCCTTCCAGGGACTGAGAGAAAGTGACTGGCCCAAGGTCACCAGCTGGCTTTGTGCCTTAGGTGGGACTAGAACTCTGGGTCCCCCGGTTTCTAGCCTGATGCCTTAACCACTACACCAAATTGGCTCTCTCATATACCTATTTAGCCACCTTTAATAATTTGGTGTTAGCAGCAAATTTGGCCCTTTCACTGCTCACTTCTATTTTCAGATAAATTATAAATAAGTTTTTAAAAAATAGCCCCAATTAATTTGCAATTAGGAGTGAGCCATGAAATGAGGTGGATGGTGGGTGGGAACCTGGCTCTTTATTGTGAGAATTGTTGATTTATTTTTATTCCATGCTTCCTGTTCTTTGGCCAGTCATCAGACTGTAAAAAGACCTTTATTCTTATCTCAAAACTCAGGGGTGCCCACCTTGGGGGAGGGGAGTAAGGATCATACTTGGCCCTTGAATCAGGAGTCTTGGAGCACCTTTTCCAACTAACAGATTTTATTAAAAGGCCTGGAAAGTTTGCAATTCCCTTCAATAATTCATTTTAGATTATAGTTAAATGCAGACTTCATGGTTTTAATACCAGCTTTTTTTCTCTCCCCCATGCCTTTTGATTAATTTACAGTCTTGTATGGAGTTCTGATAACTTGAAAGCTTGCACATTATGAATTGGCTTACTAAAGGTACTGCCCTAACATACTGAATTCAGAATGCTGTTTCCCGTCCCTCCTCTGATTCAAATTTTCACAATGAACTGTAGTCATAAGCAGCTGAATTTCTGGAAGAAGTCTAGCGTGTGATGCTATTGTTAAATTCAGAAGTGGTTACCATGAACCAGGAAGTAGGAATGTGCATTAGATTAAACCATATCCCAAATCAGGCTGATGGGAGAGATACAGGGGACAACTAAGTCAAAGCAAGGCCCCTCCAACTCTGAATTATCTAGCAGTTTCACAACAATTCAGAGCGCACAGAAGAGTAATCTACTTTAGCGTTTTGTCCTGTGTCTATGGTTTGGATCATTTGGGTGACACATGAGGTACTACCAAGCCTATACTCCTGATGCTCTTTCTCTTTCAATATTCCAATTTCTCCAAGACTACTCTAACAACGATTTTCCAGTACTCCAATACAGTCCAATGGGAGGAGTTTAAAGGTATAGCACTTGCTTCGCAACATCGCCTCCCTTCTCCTTTTACCTCAGATTAAGGAATGTGATTTTACAGTTAGAAAAATCAATTTTTTAAAGGACATTTATCATCTGCATCAATTTGAATGTTTAAGTTTACATTTCTATACAGCTACACAGGTGAACATGCAATTAAAGGATATTAAACTACGACCTCCCTGCTCAAATGACAGCGTGATCTCATACTTCCCTAATTGCTGAACTATACAGTGCTTTGTGGCTTACTTCTACCCAGAGGTTATTTCTAAACCAGTATCCCTGCACAGTTGCACATACATGCATACTTTATTGAATGTTATTTCCTAACTTAAAAGACTGCAATTGTTTTAAATGGCAAAGAAACATACAGGCCAGCTTTTTTTTTCTTTTTTAAAATAAAGACTGGCAACCAAAATGAATAACAAAATTCAGTCGGAACAGGATAGATTGAAAGTGGAATTAAGATCAGTATTAAATACAGTTAAGATGATTCTATAGCACTTTATCAGTGTGTATAAAAGAAAACGTCCTCTCTCCCCTCTTATTCACCACTTATTCAATAAACTGTAGATTCCTGTCAATTCTGCCAAATTAAATCTTAGACTTGCATTTGATAACTACAAATGAAGTTTTCAAAGTTTGAAATGTGGTCTTCACTCACTTATTTTATTATTCTTAGTCCTTAAAACAGATTTATCTCTTTAAAAAAAACCCAACAAAATGTTGCTTATTGGCAAGTAAAAATGGCAATGTCAGGACATTGTACGAGCACTTTTGGAACTAGAATTGCCAATGAATTGTTTATGTTTGGCCTACAGCAGAAGTCCCCAACCCTTAGAAAATCTAATAAATATCATGGGCATTCTCATAAAAAAACTGCCATGACCAGTCACAAAACACCAGTTTAAACAAACCAGTAAGATTGCTGCTAGTTAATTCCTTCTTGGTCAACTGCTTTAGCTTACCTGGGGGG